GGAAAGCATGCTGCGATATGGTGTTGGTGCAGGTGAAGCATGCCTCGCCTTAGGCGGCTTCAAGATGCAGAGATTGGTTCTGGTCGTCTCATCTAGTATGCACATGACAGCGGCCTCGAATGACTTCCAATTTGATTCAATCCCAGACGGAACATCGTATCTGCCAGGTGCCACGCTCCATACGTTGGATCTAAGCATCCTAACCGGACGTCAAGACACTTCCACCGGTGCAGCTTTACCGGTGGCAGATGTGAATGCGGCATACTTGCATCAAATCGGAGATAGCGCGAATCTCTTCTCCTTGACTTCCGCTGGACTTAGCCTCGTCCTAGACCAGGACAGGGAATATGTGATCATCGGTGAACTCCTGAAAAGCAACACCGCTGTTGTGCACAATCACATCAACGATCGGCCCTGCCTCTCGCGGGTTGTTGGAGGTGTTTGGGTAATTGTTGTCCAAAAATTATGCACTGGATTCATACCCCACACATTTGTTGCTCAGTGATCCTTAACAAATTCTTGTTGCGACTGTCAACAAGTTCTACCTCCGATATGATTATCCTGATTCACATCTCCACACCCAGATCCAAGGTCGCCTGCAACGTCGTCCTCGCAAACGTCCTCAAGACCTTCTTGCCCGAAGTCATCTCCGACGAGCTCACCCAAAACATGAAGATCGTCGACCAGTACAGCTGCTATGGCACAGACGCAGGAATGAAGGAGCCAAGAGCAAATCCCTCCTCAATGACGCCCAGCTCGCCATGGTCCAGTTGTGGGCCAAGAGCCTCAAGCTTCTATCCCAAGTCTGTCTGAACCGCGCCTCGAATCGCAATCCGTCGTTAGTCTATGCGAGATTGTGTTCGTGTCCTAGCCATGGTCCGCCAGCCGTGGCAACAGTCTCAGACCGCCTGCCAAAATGGGGCGACGAGAGGCGTCCCAATTTCGAAATTTCGAGCCACAGACTTTTTCCAAGGACACTGCTCCAGAGCCGTATACGGACTGCTCTTTTTCGAGCCACGCGACAATTTCCAAAAACACTGCTCCAGTGCTTGGCACAGATTTCTCGTTGCCCACGGACTAGCTTGGCCTGGCCTGGCGCCTCACAGACTGGCGACGGACTAGGCAAACGGACCGGGCGAAAGAAAACAGTCCTGCAATGCCGGTCATAGGCTCACGGACTGGGCGAAAATACACTGCTGATGCAGTGCCGCTCGCTGGCTTGCGAACTCGCCTTGGCTTGCGTACTGGCAACGGACTGCAGAAAACACACCAAAGGGGCGGTCGGTGCGATTTGTGCAAAGGGACGTCGGACGTCGGACATACGGCGATCGTTTTCTTCCAGCGTTACGGCGCAAAACTTGAGACTCGCCTGTGCGTGGCACTGCGCCGGTGAGAAGACATAGACAAGCAAAACAAGCTGGACGGATTGGAGCGAGGAAGATGGTCCAGATTGCATCGACGATTTGCTTTAGCGTCCCGCAAACTGACGAGACGAAAGCAGTTGCTCGTGTGTAAGACCGCGCTCCAATTGAGCTCGGCTACATCTTGTCGGGCATTCATCTCCCAACGCCTGTTGATTGCTCACCCCGGACTTTTCAGCCCACTTTTTGGTGGAATGGAAGTCCGATTGTGGTCCACCGAGACTAAGCTCTGACAGCTCGATCGAGCCTACATTCGGGTGCAGATTGCCACAAGGACTCTAGTGGTGATGTATACGATTACATTGGGCGTGCAGGTGTTCAACAAGAGCGAATCGAGCGCGTCTGTCGGAACGGGCATGTTGGATGCTTCAAAAGTCGACCTGCCCGGTAGCGGCGTCTAGAAGCACGCCGACGCCAAAGAAGATGCTAAAGACGTCGCCGCCAAGCCATCTGCGGCGATCTGCCACCGTAACGGAGACGTGAGCGGCGGATGCCATCGCAGAGTCGTGCTCGTCTCGGTTGGTCTGACCACCGATCTTTTCGTAGCTCGACTTGACGAACCAGGCAAGGTTGGAGGCAAAAGTGGAATTGCCGAGCTGGCTGACTTGCTCGAAGCGTTTGCTGCACAGGTAGATGAGCTCTTGCGTTGAGCGTGTGAGCTCGGCGTCATGATAGTCGACCAGGACGGCAGCAGCGGTGGCTGCGTAGCCGAAACGACGCAGGAGATAACCGGGCGCGTACAGGAGCGCGCCGCTGATCTCCGGATCGGTGAAGATGTCCAAGAGCACCTGGCAAGCTTGACGAATCTCATGCCTGTAGGCAGCGACGAACCTCGCCGACTCTTCGTCGTAGCGCATGTCGTAGCCGGCGCCTCGCTCAGAAGCGTGAGCCTTTGACGGACGGCCCATCTCGGCAGATCTGAGAGCGATAGACGCGAGATAGATCTGCAGCGTCCAGCGGTCAACGAGACCGACTATTCTCTCCAGGCGGCTGCAATCGGTCTCGGCCGAAAGCCAACGCTTTTCCACGTCGAAGAGTTGCGACTGTAGATACTTGAAGCGATCCCAATCGTGCGTGAGGTTGGGGCGCGGAGGCGGCGGAGCGACCTCAAGAGCTGCCAGTGGCGAGTTGGACGAGACCTCGCCGAGCCAGACCTGCAGCTCCTTGACGATGGGCAGGACCCGCACGAGGTAAGGTGTTGGAATCGAGCTACGCGAGGGTCGCGGTGCCTTGGACAGAGCGAGGTCCGGATCGCTTAGGTCCATGCCTTTGCCGGTGTCAAGGGCTGCAAGCGCCTCGAAAGCTCTGGAGCATGTCCAGACCGACGAGAGGCGATGCGGATGGCTGGGTGGCGTCCGTTCGCCGTTGATTGTGCAGATCTGGATGCGTCTAGCGGCGCTCTGTAGCAAGTTGGAAGCGTAACCCGACAGCAACTTTTCGTCGGGACAGCCCGGGAAAGCCTGAGGCCAGTAGGCGATGAGAAGAATGGCCTGAACGGAACCGATTGTGGGATCGGAGCTGCAGATCTGCGAGCCCAACTGTGAGAGTGCATACGATGCAAGGCCGGTGTGAGTCTCGGAGCGTACGGTCGGACCGTTCTTTCCATGCGAATCATGGTACAATGAACCAATGGCAAGCAGAACTGAAAGCAGGAAGGGCTCCGTGGCCGCCAGGCTTGAAACACTGACTTTGTCGTCGAGCTCGAGGAAGGGCGCGAAGACGTGGCAGTACGTGAGGAAGAATTCGAGGAGCACCTGTCCCAGCTCGAGAGTGATGAAACCGGCGTCAATCGGATCGCAGATCGGTGTGTGTCGGATGCCATTGCTGCTTGGCCAGGCTGACTCGTGTTGGACTGGTGCCGAAACAGGCGGCTGAGGAGCGGCCACTCCGTGAGAGGATCGGGGTGGTGCGGAATGCTCAGCCTCGCCGTTGGGTTCTTCGCGACTGGTGCGTCGATCGTGGCGGGTTAATGCCTGAAGAGGTACGCTAGCCTCCGAGGCGCCATCCTGCAGTTCGTCGACCTCGGCATCGGAATCGTCGGGGGAGTCTGCGCGTGCACGCTTGCGCTCTGGCTTGTGCGGAGAGGCGGCGGATCGCGAGGAGGTGGGACGGCCAGAGGTGTAATGATTTGGGCGCTCGAGCAGCGCCGAATGGCCCTCGACGCGCTCTACGAGGCGAGAGACGGTGCGTTCGAGCAAGTCGATCCTTCTGACCGCATCGGGAAGCGAGTATCCGAAGCGATCGGAGGGATGATGGCTCATGGCGTCGCGGTGCTGAGGGCCAAGGTGCGAATGGCTCAGGAAGCGTGACCTGTCGCTGGAACCGCCGTCTGGCCTAGACGAGGCATATGGGGGCAGCGCCGGACCGTGCGATGGAATGCCGCTGGGGGTGAGCTGAGCGTTGGCGTGCGAATGTGGGTGGGCTGCGATGGAAGATGCGTAGGAGGCAGTGTGGGCCTTTGCGTCGCGGTCGTCCGAGTTGACTCTGTTGGAGGAAGGGGTGCCCGCATTTGCTTCGGAGGGCTCCTTGCAGACGAGCTTGAGCTTGAGACAGCGCGCGCAGGGGAAGACGCCGTCGCACTTGAGCTTCTGACCGCGGCAACGGATGCAGGCTCTCTGAGAGCGTTTGCGCTTCTTGGCTTCCGGCTCGGCATCCTTGGAGGAGGCGAGTGAGTCGACAGCCTCTTTCGAGTCGGAAAGCGTCATCTTGTCGTCTGGGGATACCGAACGGGGATTTGGTGGGGTGGTGGGAGGCTGCGGAGCGTCTGCGGAGGCATCGAGGTTGCTAAGCACCGAGCCTTTCTGCGTCGGTTTGGGCTCCGACATTGCTTATGAGCGTGAAGGGAGGCAGAACGAGACAAAGAAGGCGAGCTACTTCTGTTGCGCGTCAGACACTGGCAGAGCTGTCGGTCGGAGGCAGTCTCAGATCTAAGCTGTGCACGGCCAGCAGGAGATGGTTACAGATGAAATGCCGATCGCAAAACCGGAAGCTCGAGCGTCGAAAGACAAGGCTGGTGAGAGGCGTGTGGCTAAGCCGACTTGGCTTGAGTTGGGCTGCCGGAAAGGGTGAGGTGGATCGCAGTAGCTCCTGCACGATCGAGCCTTTGCAATGAAGAATCACTGTAATCGGCACAGATGACCAAGAGGATGTCGTAGATGCTGGTGGCGGTGGAAGGTGGTGAAGAGTGATAGAAAGCGGTGGCAACAGCGGATCGAGGTGCCAGCGCTTGTGAGAACGTGACGGTGGAAGACGGACGAGTGATGTGAGCGAATCGAGGGGCAGCTCTTCTGGGCGGCGGTAAGGCCGAGAGAGTTCCTGATCGGGATGCGAGACGGAGAAAGAGGTGCTGGCCCAGCAGAACCCGACGATGCAGCGCTGCCCCTACCGCCGATGTCGGGAGGTCGAAACGGGATGGGGTGGGCGCGGACTGGCAACGGCGTGGCACTGCATGGCGTGGGCCGGCAATTGGTGCAAGCCCAAAGGTAAGCGGAAGGCGCCCAACGTCGTCCAAGCGAGAAGAAGCGGCTGTGCGGTTCCGGTGAGTTATGCGCTTTGACGAGGATCGACGGCGAGCCGGACGCCGAGAGAGCGCGGCTTTGGGGGTCCGCCACTCGGTCTACATGAGAAAAGCCACCGCAGGCGCCAGGTGACAGTAGCGCGGAATCGGCTCGGCCTGTGACCCGCATCCACGCCGCGCCCGTGGACCCGGAATGCCTTCCAGGCGCAACCCGCCAAAGCTTCGGGGTCCTCCGTATCCAAAAATAAAGCAAAACTGCAATTCAGCCGGTTACAGGTCGCAGCGCGCAATTTAACCCTCCCTATTCCTCTTTTGCTCCCGAGCGATGCAGCAGACTGTCCCGGAAAGACTGCGCTGACSAGCGAGCGAGCGGGCGAGCGATACAGTGAGCCTTGTTCTGTTCGGAGCAAGATCCGAAGCGATGCAAGGGTTGAACAAAGCCATTGTCGTTTGCCGAAGCGGTCATCGCAGCAGCTCCAAGTACAGTCAGCAAGGCGGCGATGCTCGCCGGCCAAGCTCGCCGGCCGGCTCCGTCCATCGTTCGGGCTCCGATCGGCGCGCGTTGCCCGAATGTCGGCTATGGTACAGGTGCCAGCGTCATCCCCGCTGTCGCAGCTGCCGCCCTCAAGACATGCTTGAACTCGACACAATCAATCTCTTATCGGCACAGTATGCTCCTACTTGTCCTGTCACGACGTCCTCACTTTTGGCGAAAGTCACGCAGGGGATCGTAACCAGATTTCTTCGTCAACTTGGCCGATGCCGACCACTTTTTTAGAGGGAATTTCGGACCGACCCGCGTTGCGCAGAGCACCGAACCCCGGTTTCACTGCAGTCTTGATGCGCTGGGAAAGCTGCCTCGCTTAGCGAGCCAATGCCGGCACTCGCGTGCCGCCGTGTCATCGCGGCTTCTCGGATTCCTGGGTCGGATCAAGGGCGCAGTGCGTTCGTGCGTTCGTTTGCCACAGTCGAGCCACTCGACGCTGCCGAAGGCGCTTTTCGGACTCCTCTGCTCGGATACGACCCTCCGAAAGTAGCCCGACGTGACCCACGCCTGCACAGTCGCCCTCGCTCGTCCCTCTCCAAACCGTGTCGCTCGAGGGGCGCATTCGGGATGTCGGCAGACCACGCGATCGGGATCGGAAGCGCCGCTAACCCTGCTGCCACCCTCACTACTCCCCATCGATGCCCAGCACCGTGCTTCTTCTTCTGCTTCAGAGCGGCAACCGTCAGTCGACGCGAATAGTCCCAAAGTCAATGCGGCATATCAACCCAATTTCTGTAGAAACAGAAACCACGACCACCGGAAACATGCTTCAGTGCACGCATTCCGCAAACCCTCTCGTCCCGACGGCAAAGAGGAAGTTGGGGAAGAAAAGTGGGGAGTGGCTTTCCTTCGCGCGCGCAAACTGCAAATTCGGCGGCTCTCAACCCGCGCAGAACCGATTCCACGCTCTGGCAACGCCAGACGATGTGGGCAACGGCCCAAGCATCAGGGCGGGTGAGCCGATTGTCGGTTCCGTTCCAAGCAGGGTGGACGGCAACCTCTGTTGAGCAAAGCGCTCGCTCGCGGATGCGAAAATCTGCCGTGAAAGAATGCCAGCAGCGAGCTCGAGCGCGCGCGTTGCCCTTCGGATCCCAGCTGGCGGCTCGGCAGCGGTGTATCCAAACATAGAGCGGGACGACTGTGCAGCTTGAAAAACTCGATCCGCTGCATCCCAACGCGGCTGCATGAACGCGCAGCGTACCGCTCTTGCTCGCTACCGATCCGAATTTGAACACAGGATTGGGTCAACGCTTCTTCTTGGCCTCGCTGCGGGCCCTGCGTCAACAGCAAACGAGTTGGCCGGCTTCTAGCTCGCTTTGCAACCAGTGCTCGATCCGTTTGCACGTTTAGTCTTGTTGCGCCGCAGCTCGGACCCCACAGCTCTCGCCCCACGGCCCTAAGTTGGCAAAGCCACGCCGCAAACCGGCATGGATCGAAACTGTTCCGAGCCTGATATCAAGCTATATAACGCGTCAGTGACAAAGCTCTTCCTCAGCTCTTATACGTCGTGTCAGGCTCGAGGCGCCGCTGATGATTGCCGACTCGAATGGAAGTCGAGTCGGTCTGCGGACGGAGACGGGTTCGGCAATGCAGCGAGGTTTGGCACGACAGCTCCAGGCGGGGCTTGCCAGCACGCGGCAAGCTTAGCAAACCTAGCAGCTACCCCTCCCGCAGCGTGGCTCGTTTCGGCCCAGTCTCGTGCATCGGGTTGCATGCGTATCACCCGAGGTCGCGGGGCGCGGTCCGCGTCTAGAAAAGCCGCAATGTCGCTTCTGCTTGGCCCAAAGTTATGCCGGCTCGACGTGCACCGCAAATTCAACAGGCTCCATTCAAGTTACGGCTCCAGCACCAGCGCAATTTTCACCGCCTGTACGCAAACAAGGTTTGAAATGCGGGCCGCTGCACCGTGCATGCATCATTGAGCCAACCGCGGGCTTTCCCTGCGTTTCTGTCACGGTGCTCGGGTAAAGTTCCCTTCCCTCCGCTTCCCGCACCCCAAGTCAAGCTACCGAGGCAGTGTCCTCTGGCCCAAGGCGGCCTACAGCGCAGAGGAGAGGATTCGAAAGCAATCGGTCGGATTGGCTACCCTGAATACTCGCTGACCCACTCACTTCGGCCCGCCCGAGAAGAAGGCAGCGCAGTGGTGGAAAGCCAAAAATGAGGAGCGAGTGGGGGACAAACGGAAGCCGAATCGGCAGCACCGCCAGAGCGGTCGCGCGCCGACGGAAGGGGAAACAAACCGTTCGGTCAGAGGTCCGATGTACTCCAGGTGCGCCACCGAGCGCCTGAGCACGCGGCGCTCGAAGTTTTGCCCTCGCACCCTTTGCAAACCCTTGGCATAACGCGGCGAGCAGCGGTTCCGTTCGGCTCTTTTTCACACCCCACCACGACGTGAGGTCCATCGCCGATTCGTCAGGAGGACTCATCTTACGAGCAGCTTAACAGACAGTTTCGTGTTCAAATCTGTCGTGCCGGTCGCCCCATCTAGCCCGAAAGCGGCGAGTCTGAATGACATTTACTGGCCGGCGCAGTCATCCCGAACGCACCACGCGGTGTGTCCTGCTGCGGGAGTGTGGGAAGCCAAGATGCGCAAGGGTCGGCGCAAGGATGTCACGCTTGGCGCTGATGGACACGGCCACATTGAAACCGGTACATTGATTCAGGAAGCGCCTTGCGAGGTAGGATCTGAGACGATCTTGTCGGAGCGGCAAGTGTCATCTTTTGAAGCCGGAGTGGGGTGGTCCAGCCTTCCGGGCGAGGTGGAGCTCTGTGGATATCTCGGCATGGCTAGTATCATAGGCCTTTCGCGTTGCTGAACGTCGACATTCGACCGAGTGTTAGCGCGAGCACATGATTCCAGCGGACGTTGAGCCGAGGAAGACCACGCTGCATGGAAGCTTATCTCCGGATCATGATCACAGCCATACGTGATGTCGACCGCCGTTTCGCCGCAGACTCGGAGTATCGCGAGCGGCTGTCTCCGACAAGCGTGCAAACGCACATTCTGCTTTCCCGACCGCAACATGATCTCCGCCTCGGATTCAAGCTCTTACGTTCATTCGTGCATGCTGAACACAAATTCTAATGGAGGGCCGATCGACAATACGACCGACACAGGGACATTGGTTCTCATTCGACCGTCTTCACCGCTCATTCGCGCTGAGCTGAGACCGCTCATTCGCACCGAGCTGAGTCTGTCGAGGGCCCGGAATGAGTGCTGGAACTGACGATCAAGGTGATGCCCGATTCCGGCAAGATCGTCCGACGACAAGATGCGTAGCCAAACGTCGTATGACAAGCACAGTCTGTCTTTCGGTTGCGAAAGTTGATGCATCGAAGGCAGACAGACAACCATGTCGAACGGCACCAGCCCACCTGCGCCTGCTCACGAGCTCTGGTCAGCCCAGATGAGTAAAAGTGTGAACGAATCTTGGTCTCCGCTCCCGCATCCGCGCGCGTCAGGTGGGGGGCCGAATGTTTTCAGCGCAGATAGCCTGCTGTCAGGTTCTGGACCCGTTCCAAATCGCGGCAAAGACGCGGGGCCCCTGCTGGCCCCACTTCAACCGAGCATTCCCTGCACACCGAAGCCGTGACGGAAAGGTGACAGCAAAACGTCGATGCCACCAAGCTCAGTCGGACTGCGCACTCTCACTGTATGGTGCCGGTAACCTTCCAGCTCCGTCAGGAACACTGCACCCTGAGCGATTGACGTACGCCTACAACCACGTGTCGTCCTTGCCCCCACACCAAGTGCACCTCGGACGATGCGGGGCTGTGAGCAGACGCCTCCGGATTTGCTTTCCCCGTAATACACCAGATACGCGCTCATGGAAAGTAGCCGCCCCTTCTGTCCTGATCAGAGTGGGCTCGACACCCTATATATCCACCGGTAGCATGTCGAGATCTCCCGCAAAGCACTGCTAGGTAGCGCACCCTGCCACACAAGCTCGACCTGCACCGTAGATCATCGGATCGAACGACTCCTCAGCGTGCAATCTCTTGACGGTCATCTTTACCTACAAAGTGCAGTCTTGACTTGACGACATGGCGGCAGAGATCGTCACTCCTACCAATCGCAGCGTCGACGAGAAGGAAGGCTCTCCTTCAGCCGAGCTTGCACCTGTCTACTACACGGTCTCCCAGAATGGTGGACGCAGAACGGGTACCAATGCTGCCAGAAAGATCAGCACCCTCGGCGCCACAGCAGGCACCGTCAAAAATGTAGCCGCCGACGGAGACATCATCCTGCTGCCGACACCCAGCAATGACGTCAATGACCCTCTCAACTGGTCACGAGCCTACAAGTGGTACATGACCTGCGTGGTCTGCATGGGGGCCTTCATGTCCAACCTAACCACCGCTGGTCCCAGCATCGCAATCATCCAGACAGGCATGACTTTCCGCACCGAACCCGCAAAGACCGCCTACCTCTTCTCGTGCGCCTCCCTGATGCTGGGTGGTTCCATGTTCTGGTGGTCGCCGCTGACCAGCAAGTTCGGCAAACGCCCCATCTATGTGCTGTCGTACCTCGTCTACTGCGCGACATGCTTTGCGGCAGGCGGCTGCAAGACCTTTGCGGCCCAGCTGGCAGTTCGCATGATCATGGGTGCCACCGCAGGAGCCGGAGAGATGCTCGGTCCTCTCACGATCAACGACATCTGGTTCCTCCACGAAAGGGCGACGCCGATGGCCGCGTACAATGCTTTCCTGTCCGTCGGCGTTGCGTTCGGGCTGATCATCGACGGTGCAATCATCAACAAGTATCCTTGGCAGTACATCTACTGGATCAACGGCTCCATCGTCGCCGTTCTCTGCTTGCTGGTCACTTTCACCTTCCCCGAGACCTCGTTCCGCCGACCTGCTCTCGAGACCGTCACAAAATCCCAGCAGAGGGACCTCGATGCTTCCAAAAAGCACACTTGGACTCAGAACCTGCGTCTCTACAGCGGCATCTGGACGACCGAGAGTCTGCCCACGCTCTTCCTCCGACCCTGGCTCGCACTGATGCTCCCCGCGGTAGCCTGGGCTGCCGTCGTGTGGGCAGTGTCGGTTGGATTCGTCGTCGCCGTCACCACCAACGTGGCTCTAGCATATGGCATGACGTACCACTTTGGGCCTCTCCAAGTAGGTCTCTGCTGGTTTGCCGGCGTCATCGCAAGTCTGCTAGGCCTCGTCTCGGGTCCTCTCGCCGATTACATCAGCCACAGATCCGTCCTAAGGAACGGCGGCATTCGCGAGCCAGAGATGCGTCTGCCTGCCATCATCCCTTCCATCTTCACAGCCCCGCTCGGCCTCGTCCTCTACGGAGCAGGCATCCACTACCGACTGCATTGGATCGTTCCCACCTTGGGTATTGCCATCTCGACCTGGACCATTGTCGCCGGCCCAGTCGTAGCCCTAGTCTACGCCGTCGACTCGTACAAACCAATCACGGAAGAGGTCGTGACCTGTATCTTGGGCTACAAGTCGCTGCTCGGATTCTTGCTCTCATTCTACACCAACAAATGGACTATGAACGAAGGTTACTTGCAATCCTTCGGAGAGATGGCCGCCATCTCTGCAGCCGCTTTCTTCTTCGTCATTCCCTTTTATATCTGGGGACGTGGGATCCGTCAAGCTTCGTTGAAGTGGAAAGTCTTCCGGATCATCCAGTGGCATACAGACCGCGATGACTTGATCCTCGAAGATGAACTGGATTGATCTCGCTCTTCAGGCTCGCTACTGGTGACGGCTAGGCAAGCACAGTCCGTCAAATTTGTTACCAATTCTAGTGCTTCATCTTCGCTCACCAGGTACGAGACAAGTGCCGAGCCTTGCTTGCCTGATAGGGACATTCGTGCATACCTTAGTATTGAGATCGAGTCTCGCCACCACAGCGACGCTTCGGTGCCTGCCAAGGCGAACGGTGAGACTCGTGCGTGATCTGAGGTTCTGCAGGGCGTTTCCATCTTCTCCAGGCAGAAGCATTCTTTTAGCATGTGCTGCAACCGTTGACGTCGCGGGCGCTGAAGGTCACGCGGTTGGTGGAACCCTGACCGAGTAGACCTCCGCCGACGATGACAATGTCCTTGGGGTTGAAACCTTTTGTGACGGAGCGAGAGTAGGCGGCGGGCGCATTCGGCACCGAGAGACGCGTCCAAGCATTGGCAGCGCCGTTCGCACGGTTGACGAAGAGGTCGGCGTCGGAGTTAGCGCTGACGACCACGGTGCCGGAGCTGGATCCGATAGGAGTCCACATGACATAGGGGCTACCGCGCGGAACGGTGCCGTCATTGGCCTTGAGCACCTGGATTAGCTTGTCGGCCCAGCTGAGGGGGTCGTTAGAGATCTTGTAGTAGACGGAGAAGTCACCCTCGGGCGCTCCACCGTATTCGTAGGTCATGATGTAGTTGCCGTTGCCCATCTTGTCGACGACGGGCATACCGGGGCGAGAAGCGTAAGCAGGTGCGAGGACATCGTTGACGATAGGGCCCCAGTTCTTGAGGTCCGTGGTGGTCTGGTGGACGAGGTTCTGGCCGTACTTGGGGTCGCGCTGGTCGGAGTAGTAGCAGATCAGCTGGCCGTTGTTCACGAGAAGGAAAGGCTCCCACACTGGGGTCTCGCCATTGTTGGGCAGAGCGACACCACCGGCAGCGATGTGGGACAGGAACTTCCAGGTCTTTCTGCAAAGCCAGATACGAGCGGCACAGTGAGGCAAGGTTGACGTTTAGAGAAAGGTTCCAGAGACCACAAGAGGACGAAATAAAACCTGCCCTTTGTCAGTGCTGATGTATAGATCGAGCTGAGTCTTGGAGAGGTCGGCGGGGATGGACTTGCCAGCAAGGAGGATGGATCCGGCGAGGTAGCCTGCGAAGCTTTGCTTGAGCTCGTAGAGGAAAGGCTGGTAGATCCCGGCCTTTGACCTGGTCCGTAACGGTCGAGAAGGGCGACCAGGGGAAACCGTGGTCGGTGGATCGGTAGATGGGGAACCAGGTCTTGCCTCCAGAGTAGTTCTCTCAAGTGGTGAGGAGCGTTCCGGAATTCTGAGAGGCGAGAATATCGAGGGCAAAAGCAGCAAAGACGACGTCAGCGTGCGTGAAATGCAATGAGCGTGCTCCTCGGCGTGTTACATGGCGTGACACTTAGATCATTCACGATGAGCGTGAGAGATCTGCCGTAGAGCGATCGATTCCAGGTGTAGTTGCTGCCGAGCGTGTAAACGGTCAAGGAACGCCGGCCACTCGGCGTTCGCCGCGCGGTACTCTCTCTGCTTCTCGTTGAGCTCGTCGGCATTTGCCTGACGAGATTCTCTCTTTCGCCTGTTGATCTCGTCGGCGTTGGCCCGCCGGGCCTCCCTCTTCTTCTGCCGCAACTCCTCGCCCTCCTTCTCGCGGTATCGACGGTCGGACTCGCTCTTCCTCCGCTTGAACTCGGAGTCGTCCCGCCGGCTGGACTGGTATGTCGTCGAATACTCCAGCTGCTTCTTGAGCCGATCCTCCCTGCTGTCTGCAGACTCGTTGGCCATGCGCCTCTGGTAGTTGCGGCTCTGCCTGGCTGCTTCGGCAGCTTTTTGTTCGTCCGTCATCTTTGTCCTGGCCTCCTTCCTATGATCCGACCGTTGCTTCTTGCGCTTGGCCGGCGAGACCTTGGACGAGTGCTGCTTCGACTGGTAGCCTCGCTTGGCCTGCAGTCGAAGCACGTCGTAGCTCTGCCAGACGTAGAAGCCGTCAAAGCCGGGCTCTGGACGCTTCAGGACAACATCGGCCATGTCGCCCACGTTTTCGGGAAGATACGGCAGCAGACACCCGATCTTGGGCAGTGCGCTGCTGTCGACTTCCTCCACCGTAGAGCCATCGCTGCGAAGCAGAATGGGGAATCGGTGGACGTTGACGAGATGGGCGAGAAAGTCGGATTGGCCGTGCGAGTCGTTGAGCCCGCGATGGGAGCAGTTGCGAACCGAGCAGACGAGTGACTGGCCGTCGCCCGTGACGGGGAAACGGGGGCTGAGCGCGAATCGTTTCAAGCCGGCCGTACTGTCGACGACGGTCTCAAAAAAGTGGCCGGCAAGATGGTTGAGGAAATGGGCCGAGTTGGCCGTGAGCTGCAGCTTGCCCTCAGCGAGCTCGGGAACGACGCGACTCCTGCTCCTGTGGCGGATGGCAGCGGTGCCGTCCAGATGCGACCGGTCGTTGGCGTCGGGCCGAAGGTGCCAGTCCTCGTCGATGCAGGAATCGACGGGGCAGGCGAAGAAGGTGGCGCGCTTCCATTGCTGAAAGCTGGCTGTATGGACGACGCAGATCGTGCCGAAGTCGAGTGCGAGGGCAGACACGGCGTCGTAGTGCTTCTGGAAGCACTCGGCGGTGTGGTTTGTGTCCGCCAGAGGAAGCAGCTCGCAGCAGACGAAACAGCAGAAGCGCTTGTGTGTCGCCTTGAGACATTCGTTGAAGACCCGAAACCTGTCGGCTTGGGTCGCGTCGGCCCTGACGCGGAGCTCGTTGGCATGGAACGACGCGTGGCACGACGGGCAGAGATGGGAGGCGCCATCCAGAATCCACCCCAGCAGGACAGCGTCGGAGCCCTTGGTGATAGCGACGTTGTCGAAGGGATGACCCTGCGCTGCCAGTTGTGTCCACGGCACCTGGCCAGCGCTGGTGAGCGAGAGAAGCCCGGCCAGCGACTCCTTGAAGGGGAGCCGAGTGCCGCTGTTGATGCGTCCGAAGAGCTCGACAATCTCTTTGGACATGGCGGCGGAGACGTCCGGGTGGCCTCCACCATCCCCCACCTGCTTGGCCTTGCTGCGGCCGCCGTGGTTGCCGTCGTCGTTGTCGTCGATCTGCCGGTGCAGCGCCTTGATAAGCGAGTCGGCCCTCTTGAGCAGATCGGGGTCGACGTCCTCGGGATCAGGCAGGTGCGCCACGGCTCCGTTGGACGCCAGCGAGGTGCGGACGTTGTCCGAGAAGGCGACGGCCTCGTCCACGCCCACCGCAGTCCGTCTCGTATCGGTCGGAACTTGCGTAGGGGCATAGACCTGGCGAGAGAGGCGCTTGTTGCCACTGAAGTGGCCCATCTGCGCCGCCAGGCGCCAGCCAGGGATGCTACCGCCGACCACGTTCTTGAAGGCATACGACGTGCGAAAGACGCGCGACGTGACGTGGGTGGCGAGGCCGAGACGGCGCGAGACGACCCTGAGCACGACGTTGAGGTGGCTCGTCTTCATCGGCAGATGGTGCAGGCACCATGCAACGCAATCCGAGGCGTGCTTCTTCGCACCGCTGGTGTTCTGGAGCGGCACGTCGCAATTGGGCTGGCCAACCCGGGTCCGGCCCATCAAGAAGACGGCGCAGTCGACAAACTGCGGCTTGACCGAGATGTCGAAGCCGGACTTGGTGCGGCGAAGAAGGGAGGCGCCGAACATTTTGTCGGTAAAGAGGCGGGCGACGTCGTCGGCGAAGACATGCTGCGAGATGCCGAGCGCGACAAAGCAGAAGACGGGATCCCTGCTCCTGGGCTGGTCGTTCCGGGTGGCCATGGTGTTCATGTGGAACAACGCATCGCCAAACCGGGCAGCGCCCTTGGAGGAGCTGCTGCTGACGTTGACCTTGAATTCGGGATCGCCAGCGCCCGAGTAGCCGCAAAAGGTGAGCTTGACCATGCCCCACCGCAGATATCGGCCCTCCTCTCCTGGATGGCGAAACGACTTGTCCAGCCACGAGGTGATGCGGCCGCCGAGTTCGTCCAGAAGCAGGATGACAAGGTGGGCAGAGAGCAGACTCTGCACCGACCTTGACGACGCCGAATCATCGTGGGCCGCCGCCGTCCAGACACCAGCGCAGAGCGCAGCAACAGTGTCGCAGCAGATCCACTCCTTCTTGCGCGCGCCGGTCGGATAGAGGTGCTTGCGGCGTGCCAGATAGTGGGTGATCTTGAGCACGTCGTGACGAAGCCGAGGGCGGACAGTCACCTTGAGGATGGTGAGGTGACGAAGGATGTTGTCCATCCTCTTGACAATCGTCATGTAGGCAAGGGGGGTAGCGCCAGGCGCCATCTCGAAGGCGCTAGCAAACTTGAGCTCGGCGGCGGTCAGCTCGGGCACAGTCTGAGCGTCGGCGTCGCCAGCACAGGCATCTTGTCCAGGATGACCGCCCAACTCGTCGTCGCAGTCGTCTTCGTCATCGTCGTCGCACCCTTGGTCATCGTCATCGTCGACGGCGGCGGCGGCGGCGGCGGCGGC